TTTAGTTTTCTCTTCTTTTTCTTTTCCACGCAAAATCAGGTACATCAATTGATTATCGTAATGGGTAGAGTGATATATTATTTTAAAGCCCTTGTCAGTGACGAGAAAACTGGTTTGAAGTTTTGATTTTTGGTCTATTTTTGAACTAATGGTGCGAGTGTGTAGGCTTACAATAGCTTATTTAAGCTTACTTCGATTCTTAAGAACTTAGTTGTACTCAAATAAAAGTAGTTTCTGGAGTGTTTTAGCGCCATTTTGTAAGCAAAGGCTAAAAATTCCAAAAAATAATGCAAAATTTTGAAAAGAAGTTGTTTATTTTTTTAAGTTTTTTTGCACACCTTTTTTTCGTTCAGATCTTTTTATCACACCATGCGGAAAAAAATCAAAACTAAAATGAAAAACAATGTTTTTGTTTTTTCTAAGACGGTGGTCGGAACAGTCTGTGCTACTTGCACAGTAACCGGCTATTGTTGTTACAATAACAAATTGCCTCTGGAGCGTGCAAATGAATGTTGTTGTACAAGTATATAGCATCTTTTAGTGCGGCGGAAAAAAAATAATTGAATCGTACCTTTTTACTTGATTTCGTTTCAATCGACGCACAGGGAAATGAGAAATAAAATTAGGATCATTCAAGGTGTAATCAGATGATTGCCATAAATTGATACATGAGATTAGTGACAAGAGTAATATGAATAGTTTCATTAGGGATGAGGCTAATTGCTACACGCAATGGTCTTAAAAATGGGTGACTCCCATCCTAGTTTACACTTACTTATACTATTATAGGGCTCTTTTCCCTAGTCTTGAGGTTTTCCCTTCAGGTTGAACAAAAATTAAAATGTCCTTTTCGTTCAACTCTTTCTCAACAATCTTTACTGATGCAATGCTCCGAATATCTTCGTCGATATGGCACAATCACCAAAAAAAGTATTTCCTTTTCTGTTCTCAAAATGTGAGCTGCGATATTTATCCACTCAGTCATGATAACCGAAAAAAAATTCGAGCTGGAAATTCGTTTGAAATCTTGAACTAACCAAAGGTCGACAAACAAATTTAACAAATGTCCGCTTCCTTTTCCCCTCCCCCTGCATGTAAAAAGGCATAAAAATATAATACCCGAAAAATTATCATTATAACGCTTAAATTTGGATAACTCATGCTGTTTCAAAGTCAAAAAAATACCCAAATTTGGTCAAGCATGGTAGAGTTATAATTTGTGTGTGTAGTGCATTATTTTTGGTCGAGCATGGTCGGAACATACCGATTTTTTTTTTTGTGATTTAATATTTTTGCACATGGTCTTGATTATCTCCAATTTCGAAAAAGCTAAGATTGAATTATAATCAACCTTGGTTATCTCAATTTACATCAGACTTTTTGGCAGTTAGAGTGGTTTAAAAGGACGAAACTGTAACAGCAAACAATAACCCTTGATTTTGTTTGGAGACTGATTGACAGACAACAAAATTGGGAGATGTTTTAGAAGGCAATTCAGAAAAAAGGTTTTTGTTAGAGTTATAATTTGTTGAGCTTATGTTATTTTTTTTATTGTGCAAGAAGAAAGTCAAGCATGGTAGAACACCTTGAGCTTCGGTATGTCGTTGAAATGCAGTCGGGTGATGGCGAAAAGTAGTAGACTTGCACGTGCCCCGACCTAATTTGGATTCACTGATGAGATTGATGGTACAGAAGAGCTCGATGATGTCGACTCACAGCAAGAGCAGACAGAATTGACACAACCAAAAAATTTTGACAAAACCAGACTCTTCGCAACATTATCCACAACAAAAAACAAAAGAACCACTCCACTGAGCTTCTTGACATCGAGCATCATAAAATACACAGAGGTTTGCCTCAAATTATGGTAAATTTGTCTTTTTCAGATGCTCCAGATATGTCACTTTGTCGTAAATTGCCAGATTACATACCTTTGACTTCACATGCTGATAGTATGTGGCATGAAATAAATCGTGTAGAAATGTGTGAAGTCATCGATGAAGTGTATGAGAAAGTAGTGCATTGGAAACCAAATAATTTTCAAGTTCGGACGCTGTTTGAAAATGGTTCGTTGAAGAATTGGCAGACTAGTTTTTTGCATTTGCTGGGAATTTTAGTGATGAACTCATTCCTATTAAGCCAGCAATGCTCATTCCGATAATACTTCATCAGAAGACTTCCAGAAAGAGCAAAGTCAAAGAACATATTTAACATCTCAAACGCGGAAACGAACTTTGGAAGAGTGGCGATTTAAAAGAATTTTTAAACAGAAAGCTTTCAAACTTGTTTATAGACGGAGAAGTGATTTTTTTCAAGAAGATACTGTATGACAATGCATGTGAACACTTGGACCCTGCAGAGCGTGTTTTCTCTGGGAGTGGTAAAACAATTTTAGCAGAGGGACACAAATATTTAGGATGCCCGATTGCCGGCAAAAAATTCTTTTAACAACATGTCCTCAGAATGTCAGATAGATAGAAAAGTGAGTTAGAGAGTTTATATCACATCGCTGAGACAAAGCCACACTGTGTTTTTGGAGCATTTACGCATAGTTTCATTCCAAAGTGGAGTTAAATGATGAGAGTGATCAATTGTGGCCAAGATGAAATTAAAGGTAACCTCGCCAAACTCGGAAGCAAAAACTAGACGCTTTTTTGCCAAAACTGACTGGCAGAGTAGCACCAGGAGACATTGAAAGATCCATGGTAGAGCTTCCGGCAAGACTGGGTGGTTTGAGCATCATCAATCCAGAATTAGACACCGCTCACAACTTCAAAGACTCCAAGAGTGTCTCTAAACCTCTTGTTGAGAAGTTTTTGTCAAGCGATAATGATTTAGATGGAGTTGCAAGTAGGCAGAAACGAGCATGTACTGAAATACAGAAGGAGAACGAACGGCTGCCGAAAGAAAGAAAAGTGTTATGTTGCAATCGCTTGTCGGTACACCATACTCAAGAGCATTTAAACTGGCTAACGAAAGAGGCGCGTCAAACTGGCTCACAACGTTGCCGTTAGAAGAACATGGTTTTTGTCTGAGTAAAGCAGCATTAGAGATGCATTGTGCTTGCAATATAATTGGCCGCTGAAAGATGTCTCTTCTCATTGTGTTTGTGTTTGTCGGTTGAGCATTGCTTGTCTTGTCCTACTGGAGGCGAGCTTTTGGGGACCTTTTAGCTTTGAGAACATCAATTACTGGCGATGAAAGGCGGCTTGATGTTTCAGCTAATGGAGTCTGGGGAGACCAATTTTAGAAGGCCTTGTTCGATGTAAGAGTATCAATCCCTGCGCAAAATCAAATTCTGGTACTCTGCCAAGTGTTCACGAAGTGGAAAAAAAGAGATGCTATGAGCAACGTATCAGAGAAGTTGACAATAGTTCATTCACACCTCTTGTTCTTTCGTGCACGGGAGGCACGGGCAAACTTGCTACATTGTTTTACAAAAGACTTGCTTCGATGATCAGTGAGAAAAAAAAACTTCGCATACTCAAGTGCTTTGGTGGATTCGATGTCGTATTTGATTTGCGCTTCTCAGATATTCGATCATGTGTATCCGTAGATCCCATTCATCATATCGGAGACCGAAGCATGATTGCGTAGAGCAAAGAGTTCTTGATGCGCGCTCAACAGACATCAGTTTAATTGCATGGATTTTTCTTTAAGGATATCTCTTATCTGTTGTAGTTTATTCTCATGTCAAGTTATCACTACAGAATATGGATATGAAGATGACTCCAATAAAACTGAAGTACAGCCCGACTTGGAACTTGATGTTTACAATATGAATGAAGCCGATTTTTATGAACCAGGAAACTAATATTATCAGTTCAATTCTACTGATTCTGATAACTCAACTAATGGAAACATTGATTGACTTCAAAGAAAAATTTGGTCGAAACAGTGGAAACATAAAATGAGCATCTGGACCCGGGTTGTAGCGTTTTGCCATTTTTGCTTGGGGGAGATAGCTATCAATTGGTCCCTACAATTGATCATTACTGCTCAATTGATCCACCGCATTTCTAACGACGCGCTGGTCAGATACTTAGAGCATGTACTTTGTAACATGAGGTTGAGTCTAAATTGACCCAAACAAAAAACTCGGGAAACTCTGTGGCAATTTGTTTGGAATAAGCTTCGGATTATCTAAAATGTGTGAACTATGATTTCATTTTGATCAACCTGGCATTTCTGTCAGTTTTCCTGAAACTGAGTCGAATGTTATTCTAGGAAATTAAAAAATCCAGAATTTTGTATTCAAACTACAAAATAATTCTAGAAAGATAGAAACTACAATCATTTTTGAGTGGCTTTCTAGCGCCATTTGATTGGTTTTTGAGTGTTTTGCTAATAAATGGTCAAAAACTGCCCCAAATTTTCAACGAGTTTATTTTTCCGATAAATTGCTCGAACCGTTTCAATCTTCGGCAGTTTGTGAGCGGTTTCAAAATATCGATCATAGAAAATAATGTGAGTTTAAGCTTTACTAAATTCATAAGAAGGACTCAGAGGTTTCTGTGCTCCATATTTACTATATTCTAATTTCCATTCTAACTTCAAATAGACATGAAAAGCTGATTTATATAGCCGCTAGATTCCCGGGTTGAAGTATTCAAATTAAGCTTCGACCAAATATGTTGTCGAAAAGGCCCTTTTGGTCGAACATAATCTCGAATTATATTGGAAAACATGCTTGGGTCAATTAACACACTCAATTAAATTTTTCCATCGGCTGAGTGGATGAAAACATAGCCGGTTTGTATCAAGCCGGTCGAAACAAAACAATTCAACCCGGGTTGACTCAAATTCCAGGCATACAGTTTTAACCCTGTCGATTTTGCAATAATATTGAAGGAATCAGTTCGAAATTCATAACAATTGTGTTTGATTTGCGTTTAATTCTTCATTCACGCCAAGAAAGGTAGGGAGTGTTATTTCACTAAACTTGTACTTAGGGTTCCGGTCATGAGGTTGTTATTTATGTGCAGGCTATCGCGAACAGACTTCGGCATTTTCAGGACTGCTTTGACCAAAACTCAATAATATAATTGTCTTCTTCGGACTTCTACTCGCAAAACGTAGCTTTGCTGCCAAAAGGTATTGATTTTTTCCCTTTCACTTATTTCTGAGCTAAGTTCGACTTATTTCCCTGAATAAATCACTAGGGAATCCAAAAAGAAACGTTTCAAGATTTTCGCTCTGAGATGCCTGAAAGCATTCTAGATAGTCTCATTAAGCCCTCTCAATTGCTGTTGTTATAAAAGAATTCCGTATTTCTAAGTTTGTTTGCATAATAACTTCAATTGAGGACAATCTATTTTCTAATTCTTATACTCTATTCTTTTACGAACTTTTAAAATTTTGTAATACTGAGTTCGGAACAACTAAACAAAACATTCACCTGTCGGATTTTTTTAAGCCAGACTTTTTTTGTTTTTGAAATTTTGATCAACAAAAAGCAAGAAATTTCAAAACTTGGATAAAGTTCATATCAAAATCGAACAAAATTACATGAAGGTTTTGGCAAACGCATGGAAAGTTGTTGTCGTTTGAAATTTCGACAAGTAGAAAAATATTTCTAGAGTTTGTTTTTGGTCGCGGAATGAACATCATTGCGAAAACGTAAAAACAAGTCGCTGACCTATTACCCGCACTCAGTAAAAAGAGAAAAAAATCGATTACATTACAATTATAATTGTACTCTCATCAAAATTATAATTAATTATAAGCACCAAATTTAGATGTTTAAACGATTTATAGTCCATTATAATGATAACAGTTTTGAGATAATATAATAAATTATATTCAATTATAATTGATGATGATTTTTCCGAAAGCCTCTTATAATCTCTTACAATCTGTTATAATCTAATATAATCTATTATAATATATTATAATCCTTTTTTCTATCAAACAACTATCTCATTAAAAAAAATCAAATATAATGGGTTATAAGTAAGCTATTCTGCATGAAAACACAGTAAACACCTAATTTAATTTAAGTTTAAGCTATCAGTACAAAATTACGGTTTCTTTTAGTTCATCAGTTCCCCTTATTCATGCACCTTTTGTGTGCATGAATAAGGTTGCAGGTGGGTGCAGGTAGGATGCACCTTCAGAAGACAGGTGATGATTGATTGCATCTAATATCTTCTCCTCCTCTGTCAGCTCATGTCCTTCTCTAGGATCTGAGAATCCCTACAATCAAGTCACATTCATCACGCATAATGATTGTTTATATACATCGAGGTTATACTGTATGACCTGTATACTAACTGAGATGTCACGTCATATCACTTCAGGTGACAGGTTGATATAAGTAGAATGCTTCTCCAGGTGACATGTGGGCCTTCAGGCAGGAAGCACCTTCAAAAGACATCTTCAGCTGGTTGAGTCATAAACAGAAGAAGCAAAATGAGAAAAGAATATGACACTAATATGGCCCACATAGGGACACTTCCTCAGACACTCATAGGGGCACACAGGGACACCTGATCAAACACTCACAGGGGCACGTATAGGGACACATATTCAGACACTCACAGGGGCACGTATAGGGACACATATTCAGACACTCACAGGGGCACACGAAGGGATACATAATCAGACACTCACAGGGGTATATATAGGGACGTTTACTCAAACACTCACAGGGGCACATATAGGGACACATTTTCAGACACTCACTGGGGCACACAAAGGGTTACATATTCAGACACTCACAGGGGCACACATAGGCACGTTTATTCAAACACCCACAGGGGAACACGTAGGAACACATATTCAGACTCTCACAGGGGCACACATAGGGACACATACTCAGACACTCACAGGAGCACAAACAGGGAGACATATTTAGACACGCACAGGGGCACACATAGAAACACATTTTCAGACACTCACAGGGGCACGTATAAGGATACATATTCAGACACTCACAGGGGCACACAAAGTGAAACATTCACGCACACACAGGGGCACACCTAGGGACGTTTATTCAGACACTCACAGGGGCAAACGAAGGAACACATAATCAGACTTCCACAGGGGCACACATAGGGACTCATACTCAGCCACTCACAGTGGCACGTAGAGTGACACAGATTCAGACACTCACAGGGGCACAGAAAGGACACATATTCCGACACTCAATTTATAGGATGCATAATTCAATCCCCCCAGTGAGGTAAAACTCAAATCCAGTGATTTTAAAAAGTCTTATTTGTTCGTGAACACCATTTACCATACTAACTGCCACTCAGGACCATTTTAACTGAATTAAAAACGAAAGTAAAAAACCCGAGGTACCCAAGGTATCCCTTAAATTACCTCTAAAAAAAAAATAAAAGAAAACGTACTGTAAAGTAGAGAGAACCAAAGAAAGAAAGAGTTTATTAATACTATTATTATTTTCGGCCTCACTTATTATGATGATTTTCGGCCTCACATATAATATTTATTTTCGACCTAAAGTCTATCGGCTAAATGGCCGCTACCCTCGACAGACGTTGACTCAACGTAGTTAATACTAATGAGAGGACGATTCATATCATATTTCTGCAACTTTAAGCATTTTTCGGAGGTCGCACAGTTTGAAGGTTTTATTTTCGAAAAATTGTTTAAAAAAATCGAATTGAAAAAAAATGAAAAAAAAAAATTGATACCAACTAAAATTACATAGCCCATATTAATTCAAAACAAGATGAAACGATGACGTTTGTTTAAGAACAATGGATGATAATTGATTAAAACGTATTATATTTCAATAAAACTTGAGAAAATTTTTGTTTAAATAATCGGTTATAATCAATTTTAAAGTTTTTTTTGTTTCGAAAAATAGTAACAGTATAATCCATTTTTAATCAAATATAATTCTTCTTAAAATTTATGAAGACTGACAATAAAAATCCCTTATAATCTAGTAAATTCTCTTTTTACTGAGTGCGGGTACATTTTGGACAAAAATGTACACTGTGACACATCATCAAAATTTTAAAAAAAAAACAGTTGCTGCACCAAAGCAATCTAAGAAAATAATTACCATAAAAGCTTAGATTGGAGCCATCAAATCGTAAAATTCCGTAGTTCTTCCGTAACACGAAAATCAAAGATCAGCCTGTTTTATCTAAATTCCGCCCAATCATAACAGCGATTGCGGAAAATTGGTTATTTGTTTCATGTTCAAATAGATGTTTTGCTACCATGTGTCGATTCTAACTTTTAAATCATCATTTTTACTTGGTCGATCATCTGAATTTTTTTCCAATACAAAGGTAAGAGAAGTGTTTTATTTATAAAGCCAGCCTTTTCTTAGCCACTACTTTGCATCTTGAAAAAGTAAGATTTCGAGAAGACTGAACAAAACACAGTGAGAGCATCGGGTTAAAAATTCATAAGCTGTAGGGGTGAACAGAAAAATAAATCTAGATTTAAATTAAATGAGTTAGCCCAAGAAGCACTAAGTAATTCAAAACAAAAAACAGACGACAAACTTTTATTTTTAGTTTTAACCAATAAATCTTTACTTAGTGCTATTATTAGGACTTTTTCATGAACAAACGGCTATTTTTTCTATCACCAGTTTTTGCAGATTACTGTTTCAGCCGCCGATTACATACAAAAGTGCTGAACCTACAAAAAAGAACAAAACATTGTAGCAATGAATGATACAAGAGTGCAAGATGAGGAGCTTGGATTTTTCCAGGACACTATGAATGACCTTGGGGATGCCTGGGACGCCGCATATCTGGTGTGGAGCGTTCAGTGGTTGTTGATTGGGGTGCCAGGCGATTTGCTGATCATTTCGGCCATTGCGATATTCAAAGAGCTAAAGTAAGTTTTTCCCCTTTCTCATCCTTTCCGAAATCTGTCTTTTCTTCTTTCGAAAATTCAAGTTTCTTGAAATGAGATTTAAAAGGAAATTATAACTTTGCGATTACTAAAAAACTGGCTAAAATATGTTTTTGAGACCTTAAAAACTTTTCGATGGAGCGTAAAGTCATGTGACAAATGAGGCAAAAAGAAGAGACAAATTCGTGCATTACTAAACGCTTTTGAACTACAGTGCCAGTTGATGGCTGAATCAATTTAGCAAATACGTTTTGGTTCTGTGATATAAATTCCGATAGAATAATACTCGGTTCGAAATCACTGTTTTGTGTTAAGCACTTGGGGCCTAAAATTTAGTTTATTCAAACCATGAAACCAAAAATTAGTTTGTTCAGACCAAAAAACCAAAAACTTCAGACCGTGGAGACCCGTTGTTGATAAGTGCAGACCGTTACTATGACGAAAGACCAACGTCAGATTTTTGAGGATTTAGGAAACATATGAATGTCTACTATGAAAAAAAAAATTTATCTCTGATAGGGGGAAATGGGGGGATACTTCAGGTACCAGAGGGTACTGGAATTTTAGACTGAAACGGAACTTTGTAAACTTAATTAAATAAATGCAGTAACTTGTTTGGAAATGGTACAATGGTATAATGCTTTAATTTAGTTGAAGGGGAGTGTAGTGGAGACTATGTTAATTGTATCGATTTTATGTTTTTATCTTATCTTGTTCTTTTCTTATGATTATGTTACTACTCACCATTACAAAGGCCATTGTTATAGCTATTGTTTATTGTTATGATCAGGTATTTCCAGTGGCGACGGTGCTCAATAGAATTCAAGTTGACTCTAAACTAGTGTGGTAATGTGACCAACGAGAATGTTTTCACACCCCCCCCCCCCCCCCAAGTTTATGAAATTAATTTTTCTTTTTTATGGCTTTTTTTAGAAAATTATTTTGCATTATATGACCAATTTTTGATTGTTTTGCAAAGTTCTGCTTCGATCAGCACTGAATAGATAGCTTTTCTTGTTTATGCATCGTTTTTTGAGCAGCCATTTGCTCACGTGAGCAATGAAATTCAATTATGTGATGCAATGGATGTACGAAATGTTGTTCTGCTTACCCACCTTTATGTGACGCCTCAGGACTATTCCGATGGCACAGACGGCCAACCTGGCGTTCAGTGACCTGGTGGTGGGGGCAACCAATGTGAGCACCACTTGGCTAATCCTCCTGTTCGACAGCAGACTCCTCATGGACCACAACGCCCTCTGTCAGCTGAGTGGATACATTTGCAATCTGGGCTGCAGGTGCTCCATCATATCCATATGCTGCATCTCATGCAACAGGTAATAGACATCTTCCCGAAAACCAACCAACCATTAGTTGATAGGATCCCCTGGCTCGCCTGTTCAGCTGCTCCACTCATGTTTCCACCATCTCTTCTTATACTTAGTTGGTTTTGACCGTCTCCACAAGTTTTGCGTATTTTTCCACCGTCCCGACCAAATCTTGGTATATTTCGATTTGCTCAACCAAAAAAAGCGCTCGGATTTTAAGGGCAGATTTAGTGGGAGGGGGGATTGGACGCCCCCCTCCCCGTCAGGGATTAAACCCCCTGTCGACCCAAAGGGTCCCCCTTTCATACTCTTTGTGACATCCATTTTTGGCTGAACGACGCTAAAATTTTTCTAAAAGGAGCCATTATTTACTAATTTAGAGGGCGAGCGCGCGCAAATTTCCAAAAAGTGACCAAAAATGGCTTTCTTTTCACCTGTTTTTTCAAGCGCTCGGAAATTCAATTTGACCTAAAAAAAAGATCGTCAAAATTTATCAATTATTTTGAAAATCCGCCTCTTTCCCTCGAGAAAATCCTAGATCCGCCCCTTGTAAACCACGTTTTCAATTTTGTCTCTCATCTTTTGATTGTTTCCCTTTTCAGTTTAAGTCAAAAATAGTTTTAAAAAAGAAACCGTTGAGATTTGTAACAAAAATTCAATTAACTGTCTTACGGTGCGACGATTGTGCTCCACGTATGTTTCGGTCGACTATTGACCTTGTGCTCCACTTTGATACTCGAAACTTACAGTGAGCACCTGAACCCGGATGACTTTGTTGATGCGACTGTCGATGTAGTCTAATGGTATAAGTACCAGGCGTACGATGTGATTGAATTTTTGCGCAGATCAAGATATGCTGGGACGAGATCTATGACCGAGTGTACAACACATACACCATGCCTCTTCACTTGCTGGTCCCCTGGATTCTGGGGCCCGTGATGATGCTGCCTGCTCTGCTGCGGGGCAAGAATGCATTTGTCTATGACACCCGAATGCTCCTCTGCCCCACCTGGTACTTCAGTCAAGCAGGTCAGTGCAAAACTATTTTATTACACTTAGCAAGCGTACTCTATTGTATAACCAAATGAAAAAAAAAGTTATTCAAAGGTTAGGCAACAAAAATTTCTTTGATTTTTGCCCAAAATGGAGATTTATACAGGCTATTGGTTATTGACTTAGAGGTATTCGGTCTCAAAAGTCCCATTTTAAAGCCAACTCAACTACGTCAGCTCAAAACGGCGGTGCATTCAATTATCAAATTTAAAGTCCAGTATATTTAGCGCCACGACTTGAAGAGATCAAGAAAATCAACAATTATAATGTTGTGAGGTATATCAAATCTTTGCTCTTGATCATTCTCCTCAGAGGCAGTGCGCCTTTTTCTTACATGGAGGGGGAGGGGAAAATGAAGCGGACGTTTTTTAAATAATTTTTGTCGACCTTTAGTTAGCTCAAGATTTCAAAAAAATTTCCAGCTCGAAATTTTTTCGGTTATCAGTAGTATATGTTGGGGCAAAATCGGGTGGGGGTGGTGAAGACCCCTGTGTATTAAGATAGGCAACAGACTATCCGGTCTTCACTCTATGTATTATACATAGGGAAAATATTTCCCAATGTATTGATGTTATAGGTTTCAGATTTAAAGATGGTAAGATGGTAATTTTGGAGAACAAATATGGATTTCAAAAAATTTTGGGCTCCCAATTTTGATGATACAGCAATGTTTTAGATTCTAAACGTTTTCATAATCAAAAATTAATATAATGTTAACCCAAGCGTAGCGTAGCGTTTAACAAGAATTAATAAAAAAAAGATTAATTACAGAGACGATGTCTTAATTAACAGCATCGTATATGATTTTACTACATAATCTCTTACAAATTTAGAGGTTTAGTATGTAATTTATCACATTCAAATTCCTGTGTAGGGTAGAAAGAGCTCAGTCCTTTTTTAAGTTTGTTCACAAGTGGCATTTGCATGGTTAATCGTTTCAAATCCTTTATTAGTTGTCTTCAAATTCACTGCTTCATCCAGTATTTTACTGCTAAACTTATTTGTTAAGCGCTTTACTGCTAGACTTATGCTTTTGACATTCTATATCGTAACAGCAATAAGTTTTAATACACAGGCACAGCATTTCGGTGCAGCTGTACTCCTCCTCGAACAATCCTGGTTCTCTCTTGTTTCTTATGTTTAGAGCAGCAAGTAAGGGGGAAAAGTTGTTTTTCGCATCTGCTCTGAAATTGTCTCGACAGTCCTTGCTTCGCTTTTCAGTCCAATCTGCTCGCTTGCTGGAAGGATACACTCATCTGATTCTTCATCTGCCAAAGCCAAAGAGAGGGAATCTGTATCCATTTCGAATTTTTCAAATTTGTTGATGTCGCAAAACTTGCTAAAAAAGTTATAATACAGCTCCCACATTCTCAACTTGGCCTACTGTACTGTAAAGAACCTTACTATAAATGGTTCACGATGCTCTATACTAGGCTTAACAAGCTACATAATAATAAAAACATTTAGCTACGATATTAAGTATCTTGAAGAAATAGTTATTGATAGCTTTATGGGTTTTTTCGTCTCCAAGATATTTTGTCATTGTAAGTTTTGATCTCCCCATTGTTTGATAGCCATAGAAACTATTTCCTAGCATTTTCATTGTTTCGGCTACCACACCAGACAATGAATTTTTAGCACCGACTCGCCTAGCATCAAAAACAGACTGAAGGAAACAGATGAATACTTCACGCGGTGTGTATTGTGCAAATCGTTGAATTTGTGTACGCTGTAATTCAAGATCCAAATAAAAGTTGAAGAATGGTGCTATATGTGTTCCGTTGGTTTAATTGAGGCTAATTAACATTCGCTGCGGTTGTATTAACAAAATGTTTTCTTCCTCATACGCGTTCTGGTAATATTCTGGAAGCTCGATAGTAACATTCGCTGCGGTTGTGTTAACAAATTGTTTTCTTACTCATACGTGTTCTCGTAATATCGTTTCTGGTAACATCGACTTTTTTGAAAATAGGTGGGAAATTAGAGAACTTTGCTTTTAGTTCATCTAAAACACTCAAATCACATTGCGCGTAGTTCATCTGAAACACTCAAATCACATCATCTCGAAAGTTTTGCAGAAGTGAAATGAGAGAAAAAGGCCTCTTGAAGAAAAATGAGTTCTAACGTATTTTTTTTACGTCTAGGTTGTTTTTAAATTTATCCCACAAAAAACACTCCCATATTTCTTCTATGAAGAAACCTTTTTCTCGAATGTATTCTTTTTGAAGCTCATCCATTTTTTTGTTCCTCGTTTTAAATCATCATCACTAGGGCTAGGTCTAGCTTCCTGACGTGGAGAGACATGGGAAAAACATCCCATTGGTTCAAAAACCGTCTTACAATGGTTGCAATAACCATCAACACTGAAGCAATCAATTATTTTTTTGTGTTCCTCTAGTGTAGTAGCTTTCAATTTTACTTTCAGGTCTGGTTACTTAGTTACGAACTCGATTTGTTTTGCCTTAAATTTTTTATTCCTTCTTTAGAGTCCCATCTCGTATACAAGCCAGTGGGCATATCCTGACAAATGGATTAAGGATAGAGTTTACTGGTACCAATCCCAACGACTGATTTACACAAGTTGCTTGATTTTCAAATACAGGTCTCGTCTGCTACTGATTTCCTTGTGAAAACAATTAAAGGGTCCCTGGTCAAATCTTCCCGTGTTTTTTCAAGCAAGGCCTTATCACTCGAGAAGAATGGGTGGAACTTATAATCGGTTGATTTGTGCAGACAGATGTTCGCCAGATTCAGTAGTGCGCAGGCAAGCTTTATCATGTCTATCTCTTTGTCATGATAAAGTCAATCATTTTCTGCATAGCTTTAAGTGTAGGAACAACATGTTTGTTGTCATAACACTAGAAAAACGCAAAAAACTCACATATTTTCTTGTTCCCAGATGGATTTCAGGTAGTTGTTGCTTTCCAACCTCGTAGATGGTTTGGTTTTTAAAAAGTGTTTTTTCATTGCTTGCTCATCAGCTATCCCAGTAATAAGGAGCTTCTGAAAATCTTCTTAATTTTTATCGAAAGGGTTACAATTTTCAACTTACTATAAAATTCATCATACGACGGTAGTTGTTGATCATTGAGTTTGGTAGGAGTATCCAACCACTCATATGGAAAAATTACTTTCATCTCATGGCTTTGTAAGCTTGTAGAAAATAGTGTAAAGTAGTAGCTCCACTCAAAAACTTCATAGTGTCCAGAAGCTGAATGTTTCCAAACTTGAACAAAACAAAAATGTTCGTTTTCTTGCTGACTGAAGATTCAGATACCGTCTCGTTGATAGGGTAGTAAATGAGCTATGATTTAAAGAGTTTTATATTTTACTGACCACTGTTGAATCCAAATACTGGTAGAGTTTTGGTTTAACTCTCTAGATGTTGCATTAAATCAATCAATTGATTTTTCTGAATCCTGTGAAAGTGAGTGGATGCTGTTTCTTCCTCATCATCGATACATTCGTCTTCGTAGTCTCTTGCTTCACTTATATATTAACTACCTCAATCAACAAGGATGCTGAAAACTGTGTGTAGCCACTTTTAGCTGTTATTTTAGTTTTTCAGAAATTGTGATCACATCTTTTTCCGCAAATGTTTTTTGCCAACAACTCCAAAGTTGCCAAGATTTCAATAATGAGTGATTTTTGATCTTTCCCACACAAAAATATTGGTTTGTCGGGCAAATGGGATCTGATTGATACTGATATGGCTTCATGCTTACCATTCCAAGTTCTTGTTTTGGTTGGTTTTAGTTCCTCGGATGGCGTGGAAATTGATTCAAAATCAAAAATGGCGACAATTTTGAATCAAGTTTGTTCTTTTGGAGACTCAATATTGTAACCATTCAGTTTTTCAAATAAGGCCGCACGTAGAGTATAAACATTTTTGGGGTAAGGCTTTTGATTCGATCTTTGGATTCTAGAAAAGGCTTATTGGAATGATCTGCCTTGTGGAGAAATGTATCGCAATTTGGACATCGGAAACATTTGAAAAAGTTGACGCAAACATATTGTCGTATCGTAGAAGTTTTACTGATTTCTCGTATTTACCGATGTTTCTGCGAGCTAAATCACCCATAAAGTTTCCATATTCAAGGTCGATTTCCTAGATAGAGATGTTTTTCTCGACTACATCTTCAACTATTGGCAGATTATCTATTAAAATACCACGGAATTGTTTCGGATTGGAACTCAACTTTTCAAGAAAACCACCAACAATCCTGTAGATGGATGTTTCCAGATTAGTTGTTCCATGCAATTGAACTGCAAGTGCTCGAAATAAACACAAGTTGTCATTGTATGGTTGCTTCCTCGATTCCGGAATCAAACAGTTAACTTGATGATTTCTCAGAAGTGGTTCGGAAATCACTGAATCTGTATATCGCATGGGTGCGTTTTTGAGTTAAGTTAATACAACAGTCAACTTTCGTTCACCTTTCGTTCACCTTTCGTTCACCTTTCGTTCACCCTTTCGTAATTTGTCTCTCTAGTGTACAGACTTCAATGATATCTTGCTTAGTGACCTTGTTCTGTGTAGCCGTCAAGTCGCTTCAGTATAAAGCAGCAAAGATTTACGAAAAATTGTTATTATCATGAGCGATTTTTGCAGCACAGTCAAGTTTTCAAATACTTGATCCAGTTACTCAATAAATAGATTGGGATCTAGTTTGGAGCGATAAAAATTGAAAACCTTCTGGCGTCCATTTACCATCTCAGTATCCGTTAAGAAGTGCTGACAGGCATTCAACTCATCTCGTAGCTGATCACTCACCTCCTCGTTTTCCAAGATTTATTTTTTTTAAATAATTATCAGAATCAATAGTTTTCCTCGCTTTCAACCCATGATCTTTCTTGCAATGTTATTGAAGTGAATAAATATTTGGGAATCCTTTTGTACACATTACACGTTTTATTGACTTCGGGGTTGACTTTACGTTCTTCTTGCTCGTATGAAAATTCAATTCTTGCTGGTT